CACATAATTTTGGAACGAGTTATGCCATTATTGCTGAGCACTTTCGAGTCAATCTGTTTTTTGTTTTTCGATCAACCGGTATATAGCTTGTTAGCTGATCAGACAATAGATAAATTCTATGTGGATGTCATGGAGAGATCAGGTTTAGGGAGAGAGAGCCGACTACGATTTGCACTTATCGATATTATCGATAGGCATATGTGTGTATATATATATATATATATATATGTCTTGTCTCACAGTGACGTATATTTGCAAGCCAAATATACTCGTCCATTTTTGGGAGCAGAGTATACAAATCGAGTTTAGAGACGAAACTAATCTTTTGCACTTGATAAAAGCTTGTGGCAGAGGGTGACAGTGACCCACTGGCCTTGCCACAATTACTCCCTTTGCGTATTACGGACTTGCAGTCTGTCGATCAGCCTGTCAGCCAGTCAGTCCGTCAGTCCGTCAGTCAGTCAGTCTGCCTGTCATATGGCCAAGCTGAGTAGTCGAGCCGTGCTATCTGTCTAATTGTAGTCCATTTGCTGCTGTTGCAATTGTTGCTGTTGCTGTTGTTGCTGCTTGTTTGCCAGCTTGTAAAATGTATTTGTACTTTTCAATGCAAACGAACGAAATGAAATAAAGTTGAGCAAACAAAACCGTTTAGATAAACCGAGCAGCAACAAAGCAGAAATGTAAAGCGAAAAACGATGAAAAAAAATGTATATATATATATATATGTATATGTGTATATGTGTATATAGTAAAAAACCTCGAGCACCTTAAACCTTTTTGAAAGAGCCCAAAACCAAAGCCGCAGCGCGCTTGCTGCACACTCAAGACAACAAAAACAACAACAGCAACAGCAGTGACAATGACAAACAAAACAACAACCGAAAACGGTGTTCAATTCCATTTATCATTTACGCATGATAAGCCTGATAAGCGGCGCACTTTGTGCATGTTCCGCTTGTGCCTGTGCCAGTGCCTGTGTCTGGTGACTTGTCTTTGTCTCTCGCTCTCTCTCTCTCTTACTTTTTCGGTTTCAGTTCCAGTTCCAGTTCCAGTTTCGGTTTCGGTTTCTTTTTCGGTTTCTCTATTTGCTCGATAATGATAAGCAGACGCCGAGAGACGCCGATAAGAGCAGAGGAGACCCACAATGAGCTATGGAATCGGGAGGCAACTAGAGGCAGCAGGTGGTGGTGGAGGAGACGAGTATTTAACGTATCTCTATCTGCAGCTATTGTTGTTGCTCTTGTTCGACTCGTACTTGCCACAATCTGCAACTTGTCATCAATGAGGTTGAACTGAAACGTACTCGAAACACGCCCAACTGCTCAACTGAAGCTGTATCTGTATCTGTATCTGAATCGATTTATGCCCGCGTTTATATTCCTTATTTTTTATTTGTTATTCTTTATTTTTTTTTTTTGCTTTCGGTAAATAACATTTCCAGCAGCCAATTAATTGGGCTGTATTCAAAAGCTAATAATTAAGCCAAAAAAAAATAGAATTATAGAAACTATAAATTTGACTACATTCTATTTAAAATCGGACAACAATTGAATCCGTTGGCTGCATTAATTATTATTATTATTATTATTCACTTTTCACAACACAGCGTATCAAATTGAATTGGAATTAGAATCAGAACCGAAATTACAAATTTTTTTAAAGCCCAAATACCGGAACTGATGATATTATTTGAGCCGAAAACAAAAAAAAAAAACATCGTAGCGGAACATTATATTGATCGATACCGTTACTTAGATATGTGTGAGTGAACGAATGTGTCGCTGTTAGAGCTTTATTCTAAAATTTGAGGTCTCTAGCTCTTAGGATCTTTGGCAAACTACCAGAATTTGTATACTTTAAGTACCAAAATTCCATTCGAAGTTTCTCTCCATATGATGATTTTTGCAATCGTTTTTAGTTAAGATTTGTTTTTTGTTTTTTTGTGGTTTGTTTAAGTTGATTTAAATGCAGTTTGAACTGGTAACAATTAGGGCCTTGCTGCCAGCCCTGGCAAACAACCAAAAGAAGAAGAGAATTGTGCTTTGTCATCATTGACCAACTCACGCGAAGGGTGTGTGGCAATGCTCGTTGGCTGTTAGCGTTTTTTGTTGTTGTTGCTGTTGCAACTGTTGTTGTTGTTGTTGTTGTTGCCGATGCTGCTGCCCGCACGCCACGCTTCAAATTTGTGGTAAGGCACGCTTTATTGCATTGGGCAACAGATTTGTGCTGTGGCTGATGGTCATCCGAGCGAGAGAATAACCGTGAGGCAAACAAGGTATACACATGTCTCTCTCCCATTCTCCCTCTGTGTGTGTGTGTGTGTGTGTGTAAGCTATTGTTTGCAATAGCACAAGCATAGCAGATGTGTGCACAGTTAGAAAAGAAATGTGGTTCTGCCATTATCTTTTTCAACTTGCAACAGCAATGCGCTTTTGGCAAATAAGTACTAAGCACATTATTTTTCTCTCTTATCTCTCCACAAGCATATCAAGCACTTGATTAAACTCGATTTAGTCACCCAATTTTTGATGCAACTTAATTGGCAACTTTTTTGCTGAGTGTACTGTATGTGTGGAACTTTACAAACAAGGAGGGGGAGGGTTTTGTGGGTGGAAGGTCGCCCTCATTTCGATGCGGTCATTTCCACTGGCACTGAGTTCAAGCAGCGTCTCGGCCTCAAATCAATTTACTTGTTAAATTCATTGCGTTTCATAATTCCTTTAATCGACGCTGTCATGCGATTTTCCATTTTCTGTTTTCTGTTTTTGCATACTTAAACTAGGCATTTGTTATTTGTTGTTGTTTTCGGTTTTTACATTTGCAATTAAAAATTCATTTGGGAAAAGCTCCCTAATGAGTCATAACATAAAAAAGCAACAACAGCCGAGCAATAAACTGAAGGCAAAGTAATTATAAGAAATTATACAGCGTTTGGAGTTTTTTTTTGTTGTATTTTTTTATATTATTTTGTTTTGTTTTGGATTTTTTTTGCTTTGTTTTATATATATATATATTTTTTATTCACTTGATGTTTTGGTTTTTGTGTGTTTAGCTTGTTGGTTGTTCGCTTTGTTGGGTTCATAAACCTTTCGAGTGGTTACCCATTGTTATGATAAGTGATTTTAGTTTATTTGCTCGCTGCCAGTGTTGCACAACGGCCAAAGACAGAACAAAACACAAATAAAACCTAGCTCAAATGAATGATCGGCAAATTAAATACTTACACATATCGAAAACTTATAACAACTAATAAGCTAATGCGTTTCTCTGATTGCCATTTAAAGACATATATTTATAAGTGTTTTTTGTTTCTATTTTTACCACAGCATAAACAAACAAATTATAAGAAAAAAGAAAGTTGTCGAAAATATGGATATCCAAGTTTGATCAAGATAGCGTTTAAGCTGTCAGAATAGGAATAATAAGAAAAAAAATATATATGTATATACTAGGCAGACACGGCTCTTTTAAGGCGTTACAAACTTGACGCCAAATTGAAATACTCTTTGCAAGTGTAAAAAAAAGCCCAACATATAATTAAATATATGTATTCTTTTGAGCCAGAGCGATTATCGGACCTCGTAATGATTAAATACATACATGTGTAGACAACAAAACAACAGCAACATCAACAACAACAACAGCAGCAGCAGCAGCAGCAGCAGCAGCAGCAGCACTAACCACAAAACAGCTTCAGCCATTGCCTTCGATGGCAAACTGCAATTTCGCATCCCATTTGGAGTCGTTGACTAACTGGCACAAGCAGTAATTATTATTGTTGTTGTTTGTTATGGCTAACATTGTTATTGTTTGTGGTTGTTGTTGCTGTTGCTGTTGTTGCTGATGTTGCTGTGGCCGTTGTTTATGTTTCGTCTTGTTTACTTATTGTTTTTGCAAATGTTACGCATACGCCGCATTGTTCTTGTCTTGCTGTTGCACGCGCGTTTGCCTTTGGTTGTTATTTAAATCGAACATTTGACTTGTGCTTGTTGTTGTTGTTGTTGTTGTTGTTGTTGTTGTTATTGCTTGTGTACATGTTGCACTAGTCATACAGTTGCCGGTGTTATTGTTCATAATGCTGATGCCGATCATTAACTTGAAATTGCACATTTCACAGTGCTTAAAGTTCCCGCAAATCGTTTTAGCTGCAACTAATACACTCTCGATTCGTATTATTGATATACGGTTATCAATTATATATATATATATATATATATATAGAGAGAGAGAGAGAGGGAGAGAGGAAGAAAGATAACTGATTGATTTGAGTTTTTAATTCTGAACCGTTGATCGATCGTCTTCAGTCAAATGATGCTGTTATTTATCTTTCTCAGTCAGTGTTCTCTGGGCGAACTCTCTGGCTTCCAGCTGCCTGGCTGTTAGCTAGTCTCGAAATGTTTGGCCATAAATTAGAACACTGCATTTGCGTATGTTTGCAGTTAGGGTTGCCAGCTGGCTGTTGGCTGCTTCTCAGTAAAATTTATGTGCGGATTTTTATGGTTTGTTACTTTTTTCGCCACAGATATGCCAGTCGCCACATTTCGCATTCAGCATTTGCAACATTATGTTGCGATGCGAGAACACGCCCCCTTTTCTTGCACCCAGCTGCAAAATGTTGCAGACGTTGCATTGATGCAGTATCCTTCAAAAAGAGGGGGTGGAGGACCCGGGGGGGGGGGGGGGGTGTTAAGTTCAGATATAAAGAAATTCAAAAAGAACTCTTGCATTTTTTCAGCGATTATTATATACATATTGATGTTGATAGGTGGTCCGATCCGACAGACACACAGAACACACAGACATATATATATATATCGACTCGGCTGTTGATATCAAGAACCTGATCAAGAATTCTTCAAAAATTATTCACAAGGTTTCTCGCACGAACAATTTGTTTTCCACATTGATAACAATGCTACAATTTAATAATTTCATTTCTAACTATGATTTTCTCTTCCTTACAGATTTCTTATCAGACTTGCAACAACAACAACAACAGCAGCAATAACAATAACATCATCTGTTGACAGAGGTAAGTTTTACTAAAAACTTGAGCTGCGATTGTCTTCGAGGCGCAAGTTGCTGCTGCAAGTTCTACTTCCGCCTTCGTTTCCATTTCGTTGCAGCTTACTTCTTAGCTAGTTTCTTTGTGTGTATGTGTACATATTCAAGTTGTGCGCTCACACACACATATATATATATATATATATATATACACAGAAACGGAAAAGAGCGCAGTCCAAGTTTTTCCAGCCAAAAATCACAATTTGCAAAAGAGCTGAAATCAATTTCCGCTCGACTTTATGAAAAAAAATATTTATTTGCTTTATGACGTTTCAAATTCAAATTGAATGCAGTCGGAGCAACACTAGCAGCAGCAGCAGCAGTTGGCTGCAGTTCGTCATTCTCTCCACTCCCACTCCCTATTCCCTATCCCCAATCCCCTATCCCCAATCCCCAAGCCCACCACCAATCTTGTCGTCGACCATCGCTTTTTTGACATTTTGTGTTAATTTTGCGAGCTGCAAAGCTGGCAAAGCGCCAATTTCCTTTGGTCTGTTTACCTTTGCGACTTTGTCTTCGACTTGCAGTTTCAGTTCCAGTTCCAGTTCTTCTTCTTCTTGCTTTTAATTGTGTTGACTCTATATATATATGTATATAATATATATATATATATATATAGTTTGCACGTTAAGTAGCATTATGGTAAATATTCCACTTTAAAATTCGGTACACGTACCAAAATTAGAGTAAAGAACAACTAAAGCTAAATGCTAAATGACAGAAGGCAAGAAAATCAATGTTTAAGGGATTGTTTGGTTGGCAGGGGTTGGTTGGTGCAGGGGTAAATTAGTCTCGAGAGTCTTGATGTTGCATTGGATAACCTGCCACCTGCTTGACTTTTACTAATACATTCCGGGCAACAGTGAAAAGTATGCTTTTCACATTTATAATCAGTTCTTTGTTCTTGTTCTCGTATTATAATGTCTTACCTGAAAATGGCAAACTCTTTGATTGATGTGAAAACAGCACCAAATTGACAGACGCAGGTCGAAATTTAAGGAACAAAAAATAAATTTAAAAAAACACTGCTTCGTGTTTGTGTGTGTGTGTGTTTGTATAGATTACAAGATAAGTAATTAGTTTATAGCTGATGTCGATATTGAAACCATTAAGCACTTTAAGCCTTTAACTTTAAGAATATTTATATTTTTTGTTGTTTTTAGAAGACTTTAAAAATAAATATATATATATATTAATGCAAAATGTATACAGAATTTGTCTTCTTAGCGTGACACAAAACCATTTTGCGAATCAAAATAATGCCTTAAGAATTCAGTATAATTCAATTCAGTATCGACCCGAATAATCGAACAAAAGGGAACCAAGAAAGCTTAGAGGGATTCCCTTAATGTTCTCTTATTTGTTATTATAACTTCAAACTTTAAATCGGAGTTAGTTCAATTGACGCTTATTACATATAATTGTAATTATAATTTGTTAACTTTGTTTTTGCTTGGCAAATATCTGTGGTCTAGCATCAAATTTGGTGTTGCTGAAAGTACATTTGAAAGTGCAGCAGCTTTGACTTAGTTTAGTTTTTTTTTATTTTATGTTTTTCATTAATTTTTATAGTCTGGCCAACTGGCTGGCTTGCAAGTAAAGTACGGAAAGTACGCGCACAATTTTCCATTTTTGTTGTTTTTTCTGCTTTTTTTTGTGGCATGACTGCTGAGTAAGGCCAACAGCAAGATGAAACCAGTTCAAAATGCATTTTCGCGCCGTGTACAACCAAAAGCAGACGAAAACAAAGCAGACAAACAAAAAAAAAAAAAAAAAATTTAAAAAAAAATCCAAGACCAAAACAAAACAAGTACCTGTCTATCTGCTCTGTGTGTGTGTGTGTGTGTGTGTGTGTGTGTGTGCTTGTATACCCTCTGTATTGTATTTGGACTATGTCGTAAAGTACGACAACCAGCTGTGTAAAATAATCCTTTTTATCCGAATATCATCCGATTTTGTTACGTTCCTTTTGCGATTCTAGTACATAAAGTGTTCTAGTTTCGATGAATTGGTTCCAAAAACTTATTTCGTTATCGCTATTTTACCATATGAACTAATAATGTCGCTGCCTGTAGCTGGTTCTTAAAAGAAATGTTGAATTTCTGGTTCAGGTAAAATGGTATCAAGGTGATTTATTGATAATAAATACAATTGTTTTGTCAGTTTTGTATCAAAATGGAAATTGAAGTCAATTCCCATTGCAGAAATAAGACGAAAAAAAATATTCAGAATTACAAAGAAGTATTAAATATCATGAATATACTCGTATATATATATATATATAGATATAAGTGTGGCAGGGTATCTTAATGTTGGGCATTGTTGACGAGTGTATTCTTACGTTGAGGTTGTTTGTTGTTGTTGTTATCGTTGTTTTTTGTTGCTGTTGCTGTTGCTGTTGCTGTCGTTGGTCTGCAGCCTTCTTTTCCACAGCAATTTACCAAATATGTACCTTTCACTTTGAAAATCGTAAAATGTCACAAACTGTTCAATAAAAACACAAATGACAATAAAAATGCGATAAAGCAACAGCAACAACAACCACAAAAGCAGCAATTGCATAAATTCATGCAAATTTATGCGAAAAATTACAAAAGCAACAACAACTGGCTAAAATACAAAGAGAGAAGCTGCATTCAATGAATGGACTTTTGACATTGGTGTGCTTTTTATGGCGGGCAGAGGTGATGTGAGGGAGTTGTTGTATGTAACGGGGTGACGATGTAGTATATATATATATATATATATATATACTATCTGATATGGATATAATATCACATATAAAGTCAGTTATAATTGTGTTGTCAGTTAATAATTTTCGCTTCTCCACAGGTGTCTGCTTATGAGTTAAAGTGAGTTAAAGTTGTTTAACTGCGGACACACACACACACACACTAACACTAACACACTAACACACTAACACTAACACACTCACACACATACACGTCGTATGTATTTACGTATGAAATTTACGACAAAAACGTGTTTGAAATTGCGTTAAAGGGGTCAAAAACTTTTGTTCAGTTTTTATTATAGTTTTCCTTCCATTTCTCAACACTCAACTCGTATTCAATCTAAACTGGGAAACGCTCTTTCTATTTTGCATTTGTAAGTTTACGTTTTTATGATTTTTATTCACACGCACACATACATATATATATATAAATATATGTATATATTTATATACCTGCATCTTGCGAGAAAAATAAACTTTAAGAAATCATAAAAAAAAACACACATCTTTGGGTTGTTTTTATCTGCGTTTCGGTCTTTTAAGTAGCTAAGCTTGTTGGTTACATAAAACGCTTGTGTGGAAATGTTTTCCATTTGCATAAGTGACGTGAGAAATGATCAAGACAATAAGCGCCGACCCAAACAACATCAAAACTATTGTGAAAAAACCAAAACAGAGAACAGAGATGTGCTGCGAATTTTGATTAGATTTTGAAATGCTCTAGATAACTAGATATTGACATTGCTACATTCGAATTCATATTTCATATTCCAGTTTCTATGTGTTGCATGTTCACTTTGCTTCATTTATTCCTTGGCAAACTGACATCTTATTCCTTACTTTATTTTCAATAAGGTTTTTGTGGCAGTATTTTTGTTTGTTGCTCACTCAACAAATACTTTCAGCACAATAACTTTAACTGTTAGCAATCAATCAAATAACAATTTAACAATAAATTTGAATAGTTACATTTTGCAAAACATATTAAATTCATTTTTTCACTTCTCTAATAGATGTGTGTGTTTCTATTTGTATTTGTATTTGTATTTGTATGTGTATAATTTGTAAAACATTAATATGAATGATATCCGCCCATCTTCATGCAATTTTTGCAGTTAACCAGAGTTATTCCTTTCGAAGAAGAAAGTGTGAACTGGCTTAATAGCTTTCGATATTCTCAAAACTGTGTATACTTAATGGGGTCAGAGATACTGTTACAAACCTACATTTGCACGACTGCAAATAAAGTTTTTAGCTATTTTGGAAATGGGTGCAAGGTATAAAAAAAATATTAAAAAAGTTTAAATAAATTCGTTGAGAAGTTTGGCTGCATTTGCCAATTCCATTTTGCTGGCTGTCATTGTTGGCTTACGACTATTGTGGGTCACAAATCACGTAAACCAAATACGCATTCGCACACATTACTATACACACACACACACACACACACACACACACACACACACACACACACATGTGTCTGTGTGTGCGTAAGTGTGAGTGTGCGTATGATTGCTGCAGAGAGTCGAAATCTGGCTGCTTTTGCGGCCTGTCAACTCAATCACTGCGCAAAGTACTTCTGAGTCATAAAAGCAACGACAGCGACTGCAGTTGGCAATTTTATGCTGCTGCACTTGGACGCCCGAAACGGACAACGCAGGGTGGAGCGTGAAGCAAGGGGTACTACGCGGGTGGAGGCGGGTGTGTGTGGGGGGAGGCGGGGTGGTGTTGGTTGGTTTAGCGATAAAAATGACACATGGAGTGTGCCATGGAACTGCAAAGTAAATAAACTGCAAAGATATGCGTTGAAATGTTTTCAAGGGGACCCTCTCTCTCTCTCTCTCTCTGTAGTCACTAGGCGGTGCAAGTGGGGTGTGTGTCTGGTATGCGGGGGTGGGGTGAGGTTGGGGCGTGGCAAGTTGTCAAATTGCATTCAAGCAACACGAGATGCACACAACTTATTAGAGTTGTGCTTCTGAGTAGAGACCAAAAGGGCAATCGATGTTATCATTGACTCGCTCCCTGACTCTCGCTCTCGCTCTCTCTCTCTCTCTATCTATCTCTTTCTCTTCTGTTTCTCTTTCTCTTTGTCTGTCTGTGGCAATTAATAACGCATCACAGAGTATCGCTGTGTGTGTGTGGAAGTGACTCATTCTGCTTGAGCATTCACAGTTGCCAGCTGCAGGTGAATTTGTCTTTATCGCTATGCAATACAAAACACAAAACAGCTCTTA